ACGACCACAACCACACACACTAGTTCAGTATTTCATCATTATCTAAACAGCAGCCACAAAAACAGGGATAGATAGAGCACTACACACACACACACAATCCTGGCCTTCATCACACAAGCAGTCGTTTGTTCCGTCCACCGAGGCAACGTTCATAATGATTCGTTCTCGGACGCTCATACTTCATCTCTAAACGGCAGATAAAGATACAGTCTCGAGTTACGGTATAATCTCAATGAAGTTTCGACACACCATCTATGTATCGTAAGTTCAACAAGACATGCGCCCTCACACTTCTAGTTGAGGGGTGCAGGAGGGGCGGAGGGGGCCGGTTTAACCAGACGAACCTCTAAGAATCCGGACTCTACGCACTGGTCGTAAACTCAATCCTAGGATCATTCCACAAATACAGTAATCCTCGTCCATAAACATTATTCTCTCACAGTCAGGAAATGTCTAGGTCGTAACTCTTACCAGAAAGACATCTTCTTTACCACGTCAAGTGTATTAGTTGGCAGCCTCTAAATGTGTATCAAGTATTTCTAATTATACATATACAGTATTTCTTAAGACACTGATCTCCGGTAGGTCACACCAACAACTACATCTCACCAACTTTACACAGAAGTCTTGAAGCTCTATTGTGTTATAGGCGGCTACGTCACACCAGCTCGCCAAAGGTCAGGGTTATGAAAAATATACAAGGGGTAAAATCCACAACACAACACTGATATTACCCTTTTCATTCTATTCAAATTATATATAATAAAACATGAAATAAGAGATAACTTGTCACTTTTCATGTAATGGAATTCTTGTAACTACATTACTTGGTGAATTAAACATCCCAACAAAGACTCGAAGAGAATGTTTGGTCTCACGGAACTAGCGTCAAATTCTACCTCCCAGCCAACACACACCACTAAGCTATTCTTTCATCCACTACTGAACAAAAGCTCATCTAAAGCAAAGATCAAACAAAAACAATGACAACAAAAAATACAACAAAAACTCTTGTTATATTTCAAGATCTGAGAGATTGATATTATACAGCATTGCCGAGAGAGCAATATGTTGTTTACAAGTCTGCCAGCAAGAGTAAGTCACAACGGACGTGGTGAAGAATAGTGATGGAACGAAACACTGATGCCCTGAGTGTTTACTTCCTTCAAGGGAATGTAAACACCAAGGGACTTATGTTACCGTATTTTATGTGAGGTTAAGTTATCTTATGTTATGTTTTGTTATGTTAGTTATATGTTACCGTATTTTATGTGAGGTTATGTTTGGTTAGGTTAATCTTAGGGTGAAATAAGCTGGGGTGCCTAATCTTCACGTAATACTCTTAACATTCCTGAAGTAGTGATCGACTGCGTCTTAAACACCACCTCCACAGATGAGGACAGATAAAACAATCACTGTGTTCGGACTGGTCTTCAACTGCCTTCGAGTTTATCTTCTGTTATGAATTTAGAGCATTTATGGACAGAATGATTCACTGATGCCAAATGCTTCGGGTTCACGAGTCTGAATCTTCGGGTTCGTGGTTCCAGAGGAGACGACAGGACTAATACTTGGGGTTCACGAGTCTTGAATCTCAGGGGTTCGTGGTTCAGGAGAGGCAGCAGGACTTATATGGGTAACTGAACAATACCCTGGCCACGGTCGACGAACATAATCCAACCGCATAATTCCCATCGTGACAAAATTTCATGCTTAAAATATCAGATAAATTACTCTTAAATGTCCTGTTTGATCTGTATGTAATAACTCGTTGTAACAGTTAGCTGATACTCACGTCGTCACAAATATTAAAATCATCATAACGTCTCACAGTAACTCGGGTTAAAATTGTAATTATTAAATTATCAAAACCAACGAACAACAAGTATCATGGCCGACACCGTCAACAAAAAAACTCATCATTTCAAGTGACGGACAACTCTTGCCCGATAGATCACTTGACCAATTACAAGGCGTAAATAATTGTGATTGGACGGTTCCTTGTGCTCTGGGGGGATAAGGTGAGTGAGTTGTCTGTTTGCTTGGCTGACAGTGGGACAACCAGTATTCACAGTGTCATAAATAACTACGACCAATCCAGAGACCCCCCCCCACACACACACAAACACACAAAAGACCATAAATTATCGTTCTGTGGAAATAAGTGTCAAATTTAAAGACTTACATAGGTAAATTATCCTACAATTAGTGAACGTATTTTGGTTATCGTATTCACAGACTGAAGTTAATGATCGTACTTAGAACGTAATAAATAGTCGTACATGAGCGAGGTGAACTGGTGGTAGGATTAAAGTTTCACTCCTTCTGGCTGCACAGTTATCTTTCTTCGGGTGATAAGTTATCGTACTCCTGGTATGACTAAGGGAGATAATGAGAAGATCAGATTATGACCCCCACTCCCCCACACACCCCACTCCTAGGCCTCCCATTATCACCCCAATTCTTAACACACAATCCCCACCCTAGACCGCCCCCTTTATCACCCCACCCCACACACCTCACTCCCCAGACCACCCCTTTATCGCCCCATTCCCCACACACCCTACTCCTGGGCCTCCCCTTATCACCATACACCCCACCTCCTGGACATCCCCTTATCACCCCACCCCACACACCCTACTCCTAGACCGCCCCCTTATCACCCCACCCCACACACCCTACCCCAGACCACCCCCTTATCACCCCACTCCCCACTCCTAGACTGCCCCTTATCACCCCACTCCCCACACACCCTACTCCTAGACCAATCCTTATCACCCCATTCCCCAAACACCCTACCCTGGGCCTCCCCATCACCACACCCCACCCTGGGCATCCCCTTATCACCCCACTCCCCACACACCCCACTCCCAGACCGCCCTTATCACCCCACTCCCACACCCTACTCCTAGACTGGCTCCCTTATCACCCCACTCCCCACACTCTACTCCAGACTGCCCTTATCACCCCCACCTGGACCGCCCTTTATCACCCCACTCCCTACACACACCCCACTCTGGACCCTCCCTCTACCACCCCACTCCCCTCAACTGTCAAGATAAGGATGAGAGGTGAGTCATAATCCACTTACAGAGGTCGCGGCAGCCAAGCACTTTTAAGATTACTGCCAGTGCCTCCGTCTCACCTCTCATATACTGTAATGATTATGGAAACTGGCACTGTGAGGTTCCCAAGATCTGGCACTGTGAGGTTCCCAAGATCTGGCACTATGAGGTTCCCAGGATCTGGCACTGTGAGGTTCCCAAGATCTGGCACTGCGAGGTTCCCAAGATCTGGCACTGTGAGGTTCCCAAGATCTGGCACTGTTGCATCATGACACCTCTATTACATCAGTCATAACGAGGTAATTACAGCATAAAGTAGAGATGTGTTTTGCCACGAAGGAGATTGATTTACTTGATCGCCGTAACTGCGTCCAAGTGACCAATAACACTGAACAATGTACTGAAGAAACGTGTTATCCATCTGGCATATGTTATTGTCTACAGTATATACGAGTATATATTGTAAATTTGTATAAAAGTGTAATTACTATTTGTTCAAGCTATTGAGTTCATAAAGTCGAGCAAACAAACACACACACGGTAAACACTACTCAGGACAAATATAGCTTTTTGAGTCACATTTGAACGAAAATTAATATAAAAATACATCACTCACCCATGTCATCATAAACACTATAACGAACTCGGACTTTAAGAAGCTTTAAACCTTAACTAAAAAAAAATCAGTGTTGCTGGATCATAAACAATTAAGGGAAGTTAAGGACAGACATACAAGCAGGCAGGAATGTCTGTGGGGAGGGAGGGAGGAGAATACAAACGTCTGTATACTCTGCGTGCCTGAGTGTTTAAAACGAACTTAAGATGACGACACCAACACCACCCACTGCATGTTAAGTGAAGGTCAATATGGTAAACATATTTTTTTTCTTAAAAGCGCAGTTACTTAAACATGTAATAAATTTTCCTCCACACATATACCAGGAAAAGCCTTCATCCATAGCTAACATGTTATAAGTAGCGCACAAAAACTATTAATAATAATGTTAAGGAGGAAGCCTTGGGGTGAGCGGGCACACGATCATAATAATCACTCTCATCCAGTTTTCATCTCACCACTCGTAAATTCAGATCAGTTATAATAATAAATATAATGACAGTTTTTCATTGTGTTTCCGTTCGTTTAAGACAAACAAAAAAGACTGACATACCGTGGAATTGTATTTGTTTAATTCTTCCACTCTGAGCTCTCGTAACTCAAGGCTCTGTGGTATTGTCTGGCTTTATTGGTGTCGATGTTCATTTTATTTTACCGTAACATCTTATGTCTGTGTCAAGTTCTCATGATGGTAACCACATAACTTGCTCAATTAAGTTTGTTCTAGGAATGATTAGTGTCGTTGGCATCTTAAATTACCACCATCCTGACCCTCAACGTGGCATCACTTGTTGATTTAAAACATTTTGTCAAGGTCCTGTGTTGACACCCGCCCCCGACTAGTGAAGTCATGAGGGGCGGTGATGCAACTCCCGGCTCGTCAAGCAGCCTTCCCGCCCTCATTCAACACTCATGACAAGGCACATTGTAAGAATTTTTCGACTGTTTACATAAAAAATGTAAATAAAACACTTAAAACAAACCCCCAAACCCTCTAGTGGTGTGCGAGGCAGCTACCCACACCACCAGATCTCCAACACTCAGCAAACTTGTCGCAGCTACACATGACACACAGACAAACCCATTTTATCTGATGATGAATTGACCCAGGTTATTTCGCCTGATGATTAAACACACTAACACTGCGAAAAGGGTCAGGTTAAGTTAGTTTAGGTCGGTTTGTGTTAAGCTAAGTTAGGATGGGTTAGGTTAGCACTAGGGTGTTTAATTTTCAAGGTGAAATTAAGTAGGGCAAATCTTCACATGATCCACCAGTCGTCTCTGTCCCACACTATGTAACTTTATTAATGCTCACTTACCTGTGTTATGAGTCTGTGAGGGTCGCTCTGTGAGGTGTACTGGCGCGCGCACACACTTCACCCTACACACACCATCGACCAAACACTATGAGTCACAGTACCCCGCCTAGTCGCACCTCAACATCCTTGTCCTCACCAGGTGCATTCCAACACACCTGAGAGGAGCTAATGAGGTAAAAATACAGGTAAAGATGACTTAGTTCACCTCCTTCTTGTGCTCATTCAGGATTTTCACAAAACACCACCAGAGAGCAACAAAAACTCTACACTTGTACTCAATTTCAACGTGAATAATCTTGTTTTGTATATCAAACGTCACTTGAGCCTTCACATACCAACACGCCCGCGATACGTCCTGTACAGTTCCCTCCCCCAAACCCGACTGACACACGGGACGAGGGGCAAGTGGGCAACGGGAAGGGGGCGGAGCTAACGCTGACGTAATTGTGACGTCACAAAAACAAGATCCCGTAAAGGCTACTGGAAGCTGCGTTGAAGGACAGGAGCCCAGAGCTGCTGCTGCCTCTAACGCTGCCGCTGCCACGAAGTTCCTGCATTACCAGTGTCGCTCTTCGCTGTCGGTCGTTTGTACAGCAGAGTACAGGGCTCACACCATCACCAGCTACTAGTGGGCGACGTTGACTGTTGTTCACGTGGCAGCATGTCCTGAAGGAACAGGTTCTTGCAACAGCCACGTGCCATGTCTCACTTCAATGGCTTTTCCTGAAAGCTTCCATGACTGAGCTGTTCCCTTTCCCGACGACGACGGGGTACACCAGCCTCCCAGCCTTGAGCACTCGGGCAAAAAAATTCATCAGAATAAATCCGCCATCTGGGTGTTCCCCCGTGGCGCTAAGCAACACAGATTCTTCACTTTTTCCCACCTGCAATTAATATACTTCACTACCTCGCCAAAAACAGAATCCAAAAGAGACACAAAAAATGAAAGTGAAATTGTCGCTCTGTAAGTCGGGTATCCAGAGCAAGGCCGTCCAGGGTGAGCGAGTAAGCACCGCTGACGAGACGCACCACAACTATACTTTAATTTGGTCCTCATAATGAATCAGGAAGCTTACACACACACCACCTCACCCTCATGGTCTAGTTAGTTAACGCTTTATGACTGGTGGGTGTTGTGTAGAGCAGTAAGAGCTCGGTGTTCCCCCTCACTGCCTGCCCCACACTCCTTGCTTCTCTCCTGGCTTTATCACTTGGTCTTTTTTCCCCCCATTTTTTGTTACCTTCACCCCGGCCCAAAAAGTGCCATGAAATTCGCAAAGCGTAAAGAACTTGTATTTAGCTTTACACTACAGATGACCATGTTGTCCCAATTTTGGTTGCTCGTTATACAACCATCAACCTGGACCATTGACAACACCTAACATATCCTCCAGACACATGTATTATTTACATGTCATCTCCTGACCCACATAACCTAACCTGTCTCACCTGACTGCCGACAAAAAACCTTCCCCGCCTCACCTGTTGGTCATAGTAATATACAGGTAGTCTGACAGGTTCACATATATCACTCAGGCTAAATAATAACAGAGTACAAGTTCTTTTAACGTCACACAAGAGACTCATTTACTACCTCAAAATATTCTTGTATATAAGGTGTTTCTGACGCCACTTTACCATATGCGCGCGCGTGTGTGTGTGTGTGTGTGTGTGTGTGCGCGTAGAAGACGAAATAGATGATGGATAACATTGTCTCGTTAACATGTGAACAAGTCCACCACCTAACACAATCATCCAACTGTCGTGCATCCTTTTACTGCTCTATATATAGCCGCCCCGCCCTCCCTCCTACGCACACATCAACCCAGTAGCAGTTACAGTGACGTTACTGTATACAAGACGCGCGTCATTATACAAGCACACTACACACAACAAATGACCTCACGACACTTTTCAGAGTTATGTTGGTGGCTGTGTGATGCTGTGGGGTGTGAGGGAACCAGGGAGGTGAGCCTGAGGGAGGAATAAGCTGCACCAGTCTAACACACACACGAATACTTATTAACACACAAGGAAAACAATCACTCATTGGCTGTTCAGAAGGGAGGTGTTAACAGTTACAGTATGGACACGGGGACACACAGGAACTTCCTACTTGTCCCGAGACCTACAGCTCTACACCCTCATCACCACCTACAGCTCTACGCCCTCACCACCACCTACAGTCTACACCCTCACCTTCCACCTACAGTCTACACCCTCACCACCACCTACAGTCTACACCCTCCTCACACTCATCCTCACGGTGTGGAAGTGGTGATGGTGGCGGAGTTTTGGTGGTGATGGTGAGGGAAGTGTGTTGGTGGGGAGGTGGTGGTGGGAATGGTGAGGGAGGTGGTGGTGGGGATGGTGAGGGAGGTGGTGGTGGGGATGGTGAGGGAGGTGGTGGTGGGGATGGTGAGGGAGGTGGTGGTGGGGATGGTGAGGGAGGTGGTGGTGGGGATGGTGCTGGTAGTGGCGGTCTTTGTCAAGTCCGACTTACAGGTACACCCACCTGGTTACTAGTACCTTATTTATTCCCGTTACCCCCCACACTTCCTGTCACCACCTACACTTCCTGTCACCCCCACACTTCCCGTCACCCCACCACACTTCCTGTCACGCCTACACTTCCAGTCACCCCCCAAACTTCCCGTCACCCACACATTTCCCGTCACCCCCACTTCCGTCACCCACACTTCCCGTCACCCCACACATTTCCGTCCACCCCACACTTCCCGTCACCCCCACACTTCCCGTCACCCACATTCCGTCACCCCACTTCCGTCACCCCACTTCCATCTTTTCCACTTCCCGTCTTACATTTCCTGTCACCCCACACTTCCGTCCTTACTTTCCGTCTTACACTTCCCGTCACCCCCCACTTTCCGTCACCCCACTTTCCGTCACCCCCACTTCCCGTCACCCCACTTCGTCACCCCACTTCCGCAACCCCCACTTCCGTCTACCACTTCCCGTCTTACACTTCCGTCACCCCCAGTTCCGTCACCCCACGCCCGTCACCCCTACTGCCCGTCACCCCACACTTCCCATCCTTCCGTCTTAGCCATCTTCCGTCACCCCACTTCCGTCTTCCACTTCCTGTCACCCTACTTCCGTCCACCCCACTTCCTGTCACCCCCACCCTTCCGTCTTACATCCCGTCCACCCCACTTCCCGTCACCCCCACACTTCCTCCACAATAAGTGTCCCGTGAGAAGTATTTACCGTCAACTTATTCCGCACACTTTACACTGCCCGACTCAACCTACTGATTAACACTAAAAAAACAAAGAAAATGTGTCACTAATTAATAAATTGTTGTAATAAAATAAAAATGAATACACAAAAAAACAAGAAAAAACAGGAAATAAATAAAAATCCAAACTCTTGAACAAAAACTGAACAAAAATACTGAACAAAAAAGAATACGCCTCTATCCAGCTCTGCCCCCCCCCCCCTTGAGTCGTGACGGCCGTGTCCTCCGTACCTTGGGCGTGACGCGGCCCTCACACTTGACCATCACGCTACTCTTGTCGCCCCAGGTCATGTAAAAGGTCAGGTCACAGGGGATGGATGGCCGCCGGGAAGGTAACCACTGTCTCCCGGCCATAGGGTTGAGAGAGTGGGTTGGCCTGGTGTAATGGTGGGGTGGGGTGGGTTAGGTGGGATGTGTGGATGAGTGAGTTAGGTAGGAGTGAGTGGGTTAGGTGGGAGTGGGTGGGTTAGTGGGTTAGGTGGGGTGGGGTGGGCGAGGAGGAGTGAGGGCTAGGTGGGAGGGGTGGAAGAGGGGCGGCAATGGTGGGTGGGGCGGGGAGGTGGGCGTGTGGAGGGAGTGAGGGCAGTGGGAGTGATGGGTTGGGTGGGGTGGGCGTGTGGGAGTGTGGGGTTAGGTGGGGGTGGGGTGGGTTTGGTGGGTGTGTGGATGTTGGAGGGTTAGTCTGGTGGGTGGGTGAGTGGGTCAGGCGAGGTGGGGTGTGGGTGGCAATTAAGTAAAATTAAAGATCACGTGAAGATTAGCCACCCTGATATATTTCACCTGATGATTACACACCCTAACCTAACCCCACCGAGGTACAGCATTTGAATTGAAACAGAATTGAAACAGTTTACTTCGCGTTAAAACACAGATACAGAGTGGATAATAAAAACAATATTAACATGGGGTGGCTAGTCCTTCTGTGATCCGAAATTTAATTATAAATATATTTGTTTATTTTACCGATCTATCATCTATCCATTCTTTCGTTTTGTCTTTAAGTATTCTTGGTTATTTATTTACCATTTGGAGTTTCCACCTTTTGTGTTATTCATACCGTTTGTGTTGTGATGCGTTGTGTTGTGATGCGTTGTGTTGTGATGCGTTGTGTTGTGATGCGTTGTGTTGTGATGCGTTGTGTTGTGATGCGTTGTGTTGTGATGCGCTGTGTTGTGATGCGTTGTGTTGTGATGCGTTGTGTTGTGATGCGCTGTGTTGTGATGCGTTGTGTTGTGATGCGTTGTGTTGTGATGCGTTGTGTTGTGATGCGTTGTGTTGTGATGCGCTGTGTTGTGTTGTGATGCGTTGTGTTGTGATGCGTCGTGATGATAAACACAGACTGTCCGTCAATTGGGAAGAGAAAGTGGTACAGAAATTTGATTTTTTTTAGATTGCCCTCGAGGGGACTAGTTTATTGGGCGAAATTACAAGGGGACGACACCAGCTGTAATGAACCAGGGGACAGCCAGCCATTATGAGATGTTCTTATTACTACCATGCTATTGTACTATTCCAGATGATACTAAATGTTTACATAATACTTCCTTGAGATAAATGTATAGTATATATCAGGTGCCTCAAAGAGAGCTCAGGTTCTCAACTGGCTCAGCCATGTTAATATTGTTATTATTATCCACTCTGTATCTGTATTTTTCTGGCTAAATAAACTGTTTCAATTCAATTAAATTCAAAGGGCACAGTTACAGCCTACAGACAACGCCGCAAGGGGGGGGGGGAGAAAATTGGTGGTTTTCTACAGTCAAAACACGCAACAGTTAACAAACAAACAAACGGCAAAGACTTACGAGAATAATAACAGGATCACATAAGGTTTAGTCCCCCGGCTTATTTTACCTTAAGAGTAACCACTTCCGTAACACGAGACCAACCTAACCTAACCCAACCTAACTTTTTTTTAATATCTACTCAATATAATCTATCTTTTTCATAATCTATCTCATCAAATATCTCGTCTAAACACCAACATACCATTAAACGCATCAGTCCACGAAAAATACAAGTATGAAGATAAAGAAGAAAAGCAACGCGAAAAAAACCCAACGTGTAACATAATTCTTCATAATTGGTCTCCTCCTCCCCCTCCTCTTCACCCTAACGGCC